CAGCAACGGACTTTAGGGGAGAAAAGAAGACAGCAGTACTTGTCGTCGTAGACAGACTCACGAAGTGAGCGCACTTCTATGCAACAGATGACACAGTCACCTCATCACAAGTCGCCAACATATTCTATAACGAAGTCTTCAAACTCCACAGATTACCATGCCAGATTATCTCAGACAGAGGTACTCAATTTGTGAGTAAACTATTCCAGGAGTTTTGTCAGAAGCTCAGTATAAAGTCTACAATGTCTACAGCATACCACCCCCAAACAGACGGTCAGACGGAAAGGGTTAACTAGGTGTTGGAACAGTACCTTTGCATGTACTGCAACCACAGACAAAATGATTGGGTCTACTATCTGCCGACAGCAGAATTTTCATACAACAACCAGACCCATGAGTCCACTGCACTTTCCCCATTGTTTGTCGAATATGGCCGACGTCCAAAAATGGCACCAGACGTACATGAATCAATATGTCATCCTTCATTGGAACATTTATTCACCCACTGATCCGAGGCACAAGAACAGGCCAAGGCAGCATTGGAAGTTTCAGCTTCACGGATGAAATGGTACTTCGACGAGAAAAAGGAAGAAGTCCCATTCAAAGTCGGAGACCTAGTACTACTCAAAGGGAAAGATCTCAGAGTAAAAGTCAAATCCGTGAAGCTAGGCACACAAAACTTCGGACCTTACAAAGTACTTCAGAAGCTAGGCCCAGTCACGTTCAGATTAGAATTGCCCAAGCAAATGAAGGTCCACCCAGTCTTCCATGCTAGCAAGTTAATCATGTATCATCAAGACACGGTCGCAAACTGCGAACCCCCAAAGCCCCCAGCTATAGAAATCGAAGGAGAACCAGAATTCGAAGTTGAAGAAATACTAGACTCTAAGGTCGTAAGGGGAAGGGTCCAATACCTCGTCAAATGGAAAGGCTATGACCATTTCGACGATACATGGGAACCCCGAACAAATCTTACGAATGCCGATGAGCTTCTTCAAGAATTCCACCAACAACACCCAGATGCAGCCAAAGCACCAATCAGGGTCGTTACATTTGGTGGAAAACGCTTCGAATTATCCTCATACGAAGTTGCACCGATATCCACACACAGAATCAACATGTCCGACCACCCAGATGAGTTCTTCCTATATCATAAAATGACAGATCTCATCAAATCACCGAAAAAATCCTCAAATGAAGCAGCCAGATGGGATATTTATGCAGCAGAGACGCATGAAATCCCCCCACATTCACGATCTGTGGTAGGGACAGGAGTCGCCATTAACCCTCCCAAACACACCTACACACAAATCGCTCCACGAAGTGGACTGGCCGCTTGAGGAATTGATGTGGGCGCAGGAGTCGTTGATTCAGATTACACTGGAGAACTCAAGGTCGTACTGATCAACACAACAGATTTCGTATTTTCAGTTAAGCCAGGAGACAGGATAGCCCAGATAATCTTCGAATATTATGCTGAAGGGCTTCCTCACAAAAGCTATCAACCGTTATGAGCAACAAGAAGAGGAAACAAAGGTTTTGGCTCCTCGGAACAATGAGCCTTGAGAGGGGGGCAGTGTCACAGATTTTCACCACAAAGTCCGCACGTGACTTTTCTCACACCACAAATCACGTGCTTTACCAATATCTCACGCCACTCAGCCACAGGCGTGATGCATAGAGATCAGGTGATAGTCCACATCACATGTTACGGTCCAGACCCGTGGATGATACGGTCAGATCTGTCTATTCCAGGATACAATAGAGGCACCCATTTGGAAACAAGGGAACAAGGACTATTGTTTAGGATCGTCTAGGCAATCGGCTCAAGGTATAGCCATTACCACGATAGGATGGATCGTCTCACCATTGTTACGGATGAAGACCGATCTTCTCACCTATTGTTCTACTTATAGATAGATTCTCCCATTTATTGTTCCGTGTATAGTTTAGTAGTGTAGGCATGAAGACAGCTAAAACCATGTCCCATAGTAGTCAGCACCTGTACACATATATAAGACCAGCATGTAGAGAACAAAACCTCAGATTGTTTCTCCTCGTCTATCACTGTAGCACCCACTGAGCCTACCAGCTTCATCATATATCTTTCACCCTTCCATATGCTTGCTATCCAGCTAGTAAGTGTTAGGCTCTCCAAGCCACTTTAGGGATCAGGGGGATCAGGGTGGCACGTCTCATGTGACCATTCCTGTTTTAGTCTTTTTGATCTCTTGTCCAGTGGTGCTGTGACAAGAAGGCACATTGCCTTGATCATGCACATGAAGAGATCATACATGTTGGTATAGAAGCTTGGCAGCTGCATACATTAATTGTTGATGAGGAAGTACTTTTTTCTCATGTGCTAACTTCGTTGGATGAACAGACGTCGCCATTATATGTAGCCATTAAGGAGTTTTGTGAGCACCGTTGCCACCTCAATGCACGTCACCTCATCCATCTTCAACAGCTCTCAGAGCTCAAGGGATTTGCGATCGATCTGTCACTGGGACAGCGCAAAGGTTCGATGGCATCATCAATAGATTCTGGTGTTCGTATCGCTCTGACAATACTCACTCACACGAACCTGTTGGGCATCAAGGATGATGAGCTACTTGCAGCACAAGATGATGAGGTCAATGGCGATCTTGGGGGACTTGTAGATTATCTTTCAGAGTTGTCTGTGAAGGTGTAGGTCTGTGTGTAATGAATTATGCCGTCTCACTGTTAAAGTCCAAATGATTGCTAAATGCTTGAGAGAGCCGAGCAATGACAAAACTTTAAGTGAAATATATTGATGAGTAAACTGAAAACAATGCGAGCTACAAGATTTTATGAGAAAAATGAGCTTGCATCAGTGTGAGCGAGCATATGCATGAACGGGTGGCTCAGCCACAGCTCATGGTGTTGAGCAATTGAGCGATGGCAGAAGTCGCTGCATCACTCACTGTTACTCAGAGCATACCAGTGTTCCCTCGCACATTCTCTTCAGCTCTGTCACCTCTCCCTGCTCTCTCATCATGCACAGAGGTTCTCGATACAATGTTGTTCTCGGAGGTCCATGTCCAGGTATCTATAGTGCGTGGTGAGTGTAAAGTGACATTTGGATAGTGAAGTCGTGATCTCACCGTTTGAGCGTTAGCCCACCTGTCAGCTATGGTGAATACACCTCTTCACTGCCAGTCATCATCCACAACACCGATCACACCGTCGCAACTTCTATATACACACTGCAGCTGCTTTTTCATCGCTTGGCTGGTGATGCATGTGAGCCGGATGACCTAATCATCAAGGAGATCGTCCATACTTTGCTTCTCTGGAATGAAGCAAGAATGGTGATCCCGGATACAAGAGAGTTCATCAATGTATATGTCATTGTCTGTGGCAGGAAGACTGGTGTCTTCTTTTCCTGGTGAGTCTGTCATGGAATGATTCGCTGTCAGATCTGACAGCGAAGTCATTTTTTTTTAACGAGTGTAATGCACAGGTTCACGGGTTCTCAGATGTGAGATTCATGGCCTACAAAAACTTACCAGAGGCCATTGCCCACTTCTTGCACAAGGAACCTGTGACATTGATGTGTCCGTGGAGCTCCTGGCTGCATGCTACTCCAACACTAAATCAAGGGTCTGCTGTAATCAGGGATTGTGTGTGTGGATGACTTTATTTGTGAGGGTGTGCTGCGAGCTGTTTAGATCTTGATGTCACCAGCGATGGGGATCAGGGAAATGATGTATGATGGTGTGAGGTAGTGGGCAAGTGCAGCTAATAGTCACTAAAATGACAAATAGCAATGGGGCAACCAATACCAAGCCTTGGAATGTGGAAATAGGGGTGTGTGGGAAGGGAATGCTGTATTTGGAAGGGGCTCCAAGCATGGGACTGTCGGACTTGATCACAGTGAGGCGGGGCAGAGCTGATCATATGTGAGATGATGATCGGAGGAAGGCGGAGCAGCCCAGCTAAGTTCGATGTGTGAAGAAACTGAAAAGATTACTGAATTGGATAGGATCCAGTGGTCTAGGGCTCAAAAGGGGACCGGACTTGATCACAAATGCATTTTTGTCACAAGAAGGTGGGTCGGAGTTGATCGTATTTGCGTTTCTGATCGAACACCGTCGGAGCGCTGCTATCTAAGCCAATAAGAGCGAGACCTCAGACAGATCTGAGGGGTCCTGGAAATGTAGTGCTGAAAGGGGTAACTGGGTGACGTAGTGTGGGAGTTGTGCTGGAATATCTTCGGTTGCTAGGTAGGCTGGACCTGATGATGTAATGATGATGAAATGCACTGTGATTGGTGCTGGAACTTAGCTGAAATGGCGAGGATATGCCTAGTTACCATTGTTAAGGCAACAGAAATGAGCTGCTGGCTAAGTGACGAAGTTCTGAGACGTAGGCTATGGGCTAGGAGGCTCGAGCTCCTCCCTCTCATTGTTGTTTGATATGTACATGTGGTAGGCTTATATACCTCCCTAGCAGGCCACCACCGAGAGTTTGCCTGCTTGGGTGATAGAAATAATTATAGTAAGAGAAAAGATGAAACGGGTAAGACATTAGTTGAAACCTGTGAGATAGTTGTGTTCCTGTTTGAGATACCGGCTCAGACCGTTAACATGCATTAAAACATGTTTCACCTATGCTGTCTTGGCTGGGCATCCTTCGCACATCTTTGTCATGATGGCGGTACTTTGCCCCGGTCTTCTGGGTGCCTATTGCCTGATGCTGTTGCCACCGCTAAGTCTGCCAAGCACTTCTTGAGTTCAGAAGCATCAGCGCAATTGCAGGATGGCTGAGCATCCCCATGATGCTCAATTTCTGTGGCCTCATGGCAAATAACTCCCATGTGGACAATTGTGCAGACCATCCTATTGCATTGCTGGCATAGATCACCAAAATCGGGGGTCTCCCTCGTGCTTCCCTTGGTCAGCCGCTTCTGCTGCGCATCAACGTATCAGTCTTTGAATGATCCAACATCGTGGTTAGGGACATTCGAGGGCTATCTTATGGAAATCTTGAATGAGAGCATTTGCGCTGACACTAATGGTGATGACGACAGGGATGGTGAGTTGGTTCTCACCATCACTTCTTTCATTTAACTTACTTTTCTTCTCTGCAGCAGCGAACGGCATGATGGAATGACAGGAGCATGCTATGGAAGGACTCGATAGTATGGCAGTTCTTTCTCACTGACATCGCTAATATAACCTTCTTTCAAGGTCTCATGCGAAACATTCACATCGACAACGTTCCATCACCAGCACCTGGACTATCTGAAAAGTGCCCTCCCATGACCAAGTCATGTTTTGGCAAGGCACATGTGCATGAGGTGACATCCAAGATAGTCAGCATGTACTCAGAAATACCTTCATGTGCAGTGCACACCCCTTCAAATGTCCGATCTCACGGTGTCAAGGTGGACACTGAACCTTCACAGGTCAAAGAATCTCCTGCTCCCCTGGTCTATGTCATCAAAGCTGAGCCCACCACCACTCTGTACACCATTGAACAGCACTTTACACCTCTCCCACTGACTCCATTCATTCAGCCCATGTCTCCATCCGGTAGCAGCAAGCTATCTCAACAATGTTCATGTCACACTGGCATCATCATGCTCGGCTTCACTGATGACATCAAGAAAAAGGTCCTTGTGCCATCTCTTGACATGTATGCTGATTATTACATGCCATCACATGGATATACTTACCGTGCATGGGTGGAGGTGGTTGCGGTGTTTGCTAATAGCTGCAACAGGGAGGATTTTGTCACTTGCCTCCGCGGTGCTGATGTCCCTTCAAAGCACCTGAAATTCATGTACTTTCTATGCAAGAATCACGTCTGAACTCTATCTACCATGTATCCACTCTGTCTTCCAATGAATTGCCACAATCCATCTTCAAGTCATGTGAAACTTTTGTTGAATTGTGAGTGTGTCGTGATGCGTCTCATGTTGCACACCATCAACTTCTTTAACAGCTGACATCTTTGACGTGTGAGCTTCCTTCTGACATGTCTCCAGCTCATGTGGAGAATCTCCTGCACCATCTCCTGAGCAAGAAGCAGAAGAGTCCAATAATGCTACAGGCTCGTCGACCTTGAAGGACCAGAACCAAGTGCAAACTTGTTCCAAAGACTGCAGCTGAAAAAGCTCAATTGCAGAATGCCAGATGTGAGTGAAAGGAGGCACTAAACCAAGCACTGTCCGAAGCTCATGAGGTGATTCTTGAGCAGGCACGGGCAATGCGGGAGTGCTTCAGTTCCTACAAGGTTGACTACTACTATCATCTCATTATGCAATGGCCACACAAGTCCATCTACAAGTGAAAGGTCAATGTGTGGAATGCCTGGCAATGTGGTGAAGTGAAGCACCAAAATGATGGTACATGTATCTGAAATCATTCCACCATATGAGATTCTCATTTATTTGATCTTCAGCACTGCCACCTGGTGAGCCCCAGAGGAAGACCGACTACTGGGCCCTGATACTGAAGGAGGAGTGGGCATCAATGATGAAGAAGGAGTGTGCTGAGGCTGCCAGGCCATACACCAAGGAGCTACTGGCAGAGCATGAGATAAAGAAGTTCTCGGTCCATGACATGGAGCAGGCGACATTCGATGATGCCCGTGGGTTGCTCACAAGTATCCAGCATGAGGTGCATCAATTATTACTACATGTCAACGTATTCGCACCACTAACTTTTATATCATGACAGCTCATGGCATTGAGTGAGCGCATGGGGATGCAAATGATTCTCTTCACCGTGCGCTCTACTCCAGAATCTTACGGAAGCCCGCACATATTCTACACCGACAAGCACCTTTCAGATTTCATTGAGTTCACAACAAAGAACTCGGTGGCTGACTTTTCTGCCCGGATGGACAGATATGTGCTTTCTGGAGTGGATGGTATGCATACCTCTTCTGCTGTATGTCCGATATCTTACGAAGTCAATAGATGCTGTTACAAACTATAACCAGGAGATCACTAGAATGAAGAGCCGGCTGGCAGCTCTTATCAAGCAGAAACTTAGTACATCAGAGTTTCTTCCTTCTGCATCTATACTGACATCACTCATAGAAGAAGCGTCTTTGCGGCCCGTCAGACAGCTTACCTACGTCAACTTTAAGATGAACATTATGATTCCATACCGAATGCTCATCAAGGGGTGGCCTCTCAGCAAATTCTGTTGCCCGAGTGACATAGGCACCCGCATGGAGGTTCAGCTCTGTCTCACAGCTTGGGAGATGGGAACAGCTTACTGGCACTATATGAAGAAGGATGAGGAGTACAATGTGTGGTTGAAGGAGTATCATGAGGGGCAATTGGTCCAACGAGTTAGCAGTGCGAATGACGACAGCGATGGTGATACACACCGAGATATTCTGTGATCGGAAAAATGCCAGAAACTGTGTCCGACTATCGCACAATCGGATAGTGGGTTGCTGCAATCTGGAAAGACAAATGCCGAGCCGGAACAGTCCAGAGTGGGTGAAGAAGACTTTACTGACAGCCTGGGAACACAGAACCGCGTGAAGGAGTCAGAAGGCGAAACATGAGGCACGGAAATGACGAGCGAGCCACGAGGAAGTGTAGTCGATTACGAGGTGCAGTGCGAGAGGTGGAACATAACTGGTTAGGCAACTCGGAAACAAGCAAGTGCACTAACTGAATGGAAGACAGGGTAGCGGACCGACGGACCCTGGCAGGGCTGGACTTCAGTTCTCCGACTGTATAATATGGAGAGGGAGCAGGAGTGAGCTTTGCAACATGTTTCAGTGACTCAGCTGGCTCATTTTCGACCCACTATATAATTTACATTGTAGATAGGAAAAACAAGAAGTTTTACTCGGAGTTTCCCCACCAAGCAGCACTCAGTTCACGTCTCGTCTATGCTAGCGCATCGTGCTCGACTACGTCTACATCTATTGTGATCATGTTCTATGTCTCTGGGATTTTCGACACCGAGAGAGGCAGCACTCTCAGCAGTGGCCTCTAGCTCGACTCGGGTTTCAGCCAGATAAGTCACATTATCACATTCTCATATCTCACGCCACCAGTCACGAGTCTCAAACCAGGATTCCATCCCCATCGGACCCCGTAGCCTCGCTAGCACCCAGAAGTTCATCGTCAGTGCTCGTCCCAGTTCAGAAGCAATTAGGGGTTTGTCGTCGGTGCTTCACCAGCACTTTCTAGATATAGCAAGTCCTCATGCCACAGCCCAGGCCTTCAGCCACCACAGTTCACGAGCACAGGAGTCGCCACTCACATTCCACATACACACACCTCCACATTCCAGCTTTCGACAGTTTCCCAGTCAGAGGTGTCTCCATAGTTGAGTCTGACACTCACCGATCTGGAAGTCTTGGCAATCCAATCTGTTTCAAGCATCACAGCCAAATGACTCGCGGCCGCCCGTCGCTGCATTATCATCTGAAGTTTCCTGTGACTGTAGCCCAAAGGGACTGCAGATGGACAGAGCCCTGGTTCACCTTCCACCAGTAGAGGTTTGGTTAGGAGTGCTGCTCACGGCCAGGACGCGGTTGAGCATATCAACGGGCAACGGACTGCAGCTGCTATTGATGGCAGTGGTGCGACGGCCACCTTCTTTCAAGCCAATGCAGTGCACGGAATGGTGCCGAATGCATCGATGATGTCAATGATAGCAGCCAGCCTGGGGAACGACACATCGATGGCTGCGATGGCAAGCACCAACACTTCACCCACCACTGTGGCAGTCAACATCGTATTCATCAATGCAGCTCCGCACGTCGATCCGAGCTCACCTCATGCAGATGCTGCTGCATTTGCAAGTGTGCCAATCTCTAAGCACCACCACCCTCTAGATGAGTCATCCATCAATGTCATTGCTGTCACTGATGGGACTGCCATTCCAGTGCTGAAGAGAGCTCAGAAGGTTCAGTCCAACAAAGGGATGAAGAGAGGTTCTCGTAAGGCTCACGTGCAGTCTGCTCAGATCGAAAACATCATGCCCACCACTGTCAATGCCGAACTGTGAGGTGTGGATGCCATGCATGTGCAGATGTGACATTGCTACCCCACTGCATCTCATGCCTTCATGGGCCCACCTGGTGATCTGAGTTATAGATAGCATGAATTGTAGCAGATTTGGTGACGAGAAATTCATTTTATTATACTACTTAACCATGATTGCAGTACATAGTAAGGGCAATACAAAAATGATGTAAGATAATTGATACACAAAGAAAAAATGAAAGAAAAAGTGAAAGAAATGAGTAACATGGGGGGGTCATTGTCGCTGTCGGCGGTGATGATGACACGTGGCACCCTGATGTCTGGGACAGTGGGTGGGGAGATCCGGTGGCCCAGGTGTGGGCCGACAGTAGCCAGGAGGTGTGGTTGATCATCTGATCAGCACTGATCAGAGTTATCAGCTGCATTGATTGGTGTTCCTATGTAAGGTAAATTCCTGCGCTATTGCCGGTAGTATTGGCAGATGGTGGGGAATTGACCTTCAGATCTTCTTAGGTTGTGGAGCTGGCCAGGCACAGCAACCTAATAAGGTCTGCAGTCCGTGAGGTCCAGGTGAAAAATTTGGAGTGAGCCAAGAAATGTTTCCAAGCACATGAAATTTGCCATGTGGACTTTCCGAAATGGGTAGGCCACAAATTTATTAAGCGTGAATAGCTACCAATGTCACCGTTGTCCTCCATCATCTGTCATCATTAGTGCCTCGCCTCTGCCACTGCCGCCATCACCACCATTGTCCTCATCCTCGATGCTGGCACTACTGTGCTACTTGCTGCCCTCTGCCCTCACTACATGTGCTGCCCTCCATCATTACTGTCAACTGGCATAATATCCATCCATCCACACCTCCTCATTGCTGCTGTCACCACCGCTTCCCTGAAAGAAATGTCACAGTATGACATTTTCACAATTCTTTATGCTTGTCTTCAGTCATGCAGCACTTCATCTTCCTCATTTGTAGACTCTAGAGGCAGGGGTGAAGCAAGAAGCTCATCCCCACACTCTCATTGTCTTTCATTGTGCCCAGCTTAGAGTACTGATAGTATTCAAAGTGAGAATCGAGACTGACAAGATAGTTGCATAACATGATTGAATGAGCACTTGCGAGCTACCGGTGATGGCGATGGCAGCAATGGTGGCAGCAGCACTGACTGAGGGGAATACCACAGTCCATGCAGGAGCCAATGGTGTGTGCAGGCACAGTGCCTACAGGGTGATCAAGCGCTCGCATGCCCTTTTTAGCCACGTGGCAAACATTCTGGGAACCATGTGGCAATTTCTGCGGCTTGTAAGAAATTTTTGAACTTCCCAAAAGAAATTTACCCATAGATAAGGTGGTAGGGCCGGTGTCGGCAATGCCCGCTATGAGGAGTGCAGTCACACAATGGTCCCAAATTCTTTAACCAGTGCTTCATGTTCTGTTTTTCATAGGCGTACATGCAATAACACCTCATATCCGTTGTTTACCACTGCATAGAGCAGAAAATAGAGCAAGTAGAAAGGAGGATGATGAACATGTTACATAAAGTACAAGGTAGCATACAAGGTTATTGTAAAGAACTGTACGTGACTGCGATGACATCTTTTTCACTTGTTGTCCTCTTGGCATCTTCATACAGTGATATGCTCAACCACGCCATGGCTGCCAGCTACCTCCTATCCTTTTTAGGGGAAGGCAGATCGAAGTTGTCCATCTCCATTCACCTTGGGCTGCAGTCGCAGAGACTTCAGCTGATAATGCTTTGAGGGGCGGCTGCAAGTCGTTCAGTGTTGTGCTTGAAACTGAGCGGTGAGTGGTGATTGAGACTAGGGTGATATTCCTGACTCTGGATGAGCCAAGAGATGGATGGATTGTGTGGACTATTGGGTAGGTAGAGTCAGACTTGGATAGGCGGGTGTAGAGGTGCAGGGATCGAGCAGTAACATGGGTTTTTGGCTGACTAAGCCAGTGGCTTGGGTGCTCTATACTGTGCTCCCCAGCACTACGGACAAGGTTTGGGTGCTTCCTAGGTCTCCGGGGCATCTATACTGTGCTCTCCAGCACTATGGACGAGGTCTGGGCACTTGCTTCAGCTACAGAGTCTGATGGGGACGGGGATCCGAGTTGTTAGGGCTCATGACTGGTGGCGTGAGAAAGGAAATGAAGTGGCGTGAGTACGAAACATGATAAAGTGACTTAGCTGGGCACATCCTGAGTTGTGCTGTTGGCCACTAGTGAGAGTGCTGCCTCCAGTCAGTGTCGAGCACGAACGAGGTGTTGGTATCGATCATAGACTAGATGAACTGAATAGGGCACTCCACCCTATTGCGAGGATAATGCAGAAGTTGAAAACTGAGGGGTGAACTCTTCGTTTTTTGTGGTAAGTACATTGGCCATTATATAGGTGTAGAATAATGTCTTTTAGTGTAGCAGAAGACGTTTCCGATCCCTGCTCGCATTTTTGATCCTCTGAAACAGTTTTGAGACGTTCTCCACATCCTCCTCATTGTCGCTTGCAGTCAGGGAACTGGAAGGTATGGGCCCTCAAGGGTCTGGTGGTCTGCTGGCCTGTGCTTCTCTCGCTTAGAGTGTACTTTCATTCCATTTTTGCCAAAATCATCCTTAATCGGTGATGTGTCACAGTATTAAGTGGCACCTTTCTTTTTGCACCAATAAAGTCCTCATTTGAGTGGTTATTCGGACGCCAACATATTGGTCTCACAAAGTGG